ATTTGGCATACGATTTCCACACAATCGAAAGACTGTTTGGAGCCAACGAAGGAAGGAATGAGTGAGTACTAAGTTGAAAGCATTAATTTGGTTCAAAATGATGATGCAGATAACTTAGTTATTTAAATCTAAATATCTTATGACGAGAGCGATTGGCATTTTTGGTATGCAGTGTTATTCATTGAAAACAGGTTGGCGCGGGTCAAGTTGAAAGTATAAATTTGGTTCAAAACAATGATGTAGATAAGTTAGTTATTTAAATCTAAATATCCTATGACGAGAGCGATGGACATTTTTGGTATGCAGTGTTATCCATTGAAAACAGGTCAAAGCTATTGAGCTTTTAATTTAGTGGTCGCCGCTTACTAATCATGCGGCATACAGTAGGTCTATTAAAAAAGTCCCCAGCACCAGTGGGCGCTGCATTCGCTGAGCCGAACCCCCGTCTGCCCGTCCCATATTGATATCGCGCCGGGCTCAGGTCAGGTAGGGTCAGCGGGACCGCTCGGTCCGGCCCGCGGGCGGTGGACGGGCGGCCGGTAACGCTTTCCGCCAGCCAGCCGTAGAATCCAACAAACTGAAACGGGACGGCCACCGCTCAGCGCAGCGAAACCGGTGTTAAAGAATGGCAGTGTTACCGGTGTTAAAGAATAATCATTCATGGCCACAATGATTATGGGATAGTCATTGTTAGCCCGTGCCCACAGGAATGCCTAGACTGTCACGCCCTGTTGGAGGGGAAATGGGGATTGAGCATCATTCTTATAACTCAGCTTTGGGCATTTAAGTGGTATTCGAAGTAGCGTCAAAAGTAGCAAAAAGCAGAAAAAAATACTTCAGCCAATTTTAGATCGGGTCAGAGCAAAAGATCATGTCACCAGAGGTCATCGATGGTAAAATTTTGCTTGGACAGGGTGCGTTGCGCGCACCGGTGCATTGGGTTTCCAATTTCCATGGAAACATCAACAGACTCGGAAGCTCGTAACGCTAGCGTGGAGCCGAATTCATATCAACCGCCGCAACAATGCATGGCAGCGCAGCGCAGCGTGCTGCAGAGCGGGGCCGTGAAACATCGCCCAGGGCTATCCATGTGTCAGGGCAATCCAACCCACGTGATGGGCTCGGCCCCAGCGGAGCATGAGGCCCAGAACTCCCGCCCAGGCCCCCTGTCTCCCCCTAATTCCTGTCATCCTTCCCACTCTGAAATCGACCGAAAAAGCCTAACCTAACACAACAAGCAGCTTGTTTACCGCTATGTCTGAATAATATTGTCAGATTTAATTAAGGTCAACGGCTTAGCACGTAAATAACAGCAACTGCCGTCTGCCACCATCGGTATTATGAGAAAACCAATTGCTTTTCCACAAACACTAAAAGTTTTAAGCTAAAATTGCATGAAATTAATTTTACCAGCCTCGTGTTCCTCTTATCAAAACTTGATCAAAACGCTTCGAATGAATCAAAAGTTGATCTTTAAAGGTCATTTGAATAATTTGGCCTATGTTCAAAGACATGACCTGACTAGAAATGGTCATGATGCATAGCAGGATATTAGATCCGTATCGTGGAACTTTACAAACACTTTAGATGATTTCATAACTTAAGCATGTCTATCAAAATATTTATTACATGGCTCATGTGTAAGCTGGGTGTGTGATCATGCTTACGAGTATGTTGAACGCAACTGATAATGTTCTGTTGGCCACAATTTCTATATTTAATTTATCCTCCCGGATTTCATATTTTTATTAATGACACCCTGACGATGTCGAGAAAAAAAAAACGCTTAGGAGATTTAACAGCCTGAGATACATTCAGTATAAGGAAGGGTCAAGTCTAGGGTTACTTTTACAGGAGAACTCGAGAGGGGGATTTAAGTTCGGGGCCAGGGCGGATCCAGGGGCATCTGAAAGGGGGGCCCAATGCCATTAGGTTTTTGTTAGGATGGCACCTGCAGAACCTTACCTACCCCCAAATCCTACTCTCTCCCCGGATTCTGGCCACTTTATATTGTAAGGTTGCCAAAAAAAAATAGCTAAAAAATATACGTAGGTAACCTTGGCGGTAAGGGGCGGGGGAGGTCCCAACTTGACTGCGCCCTTGCAAATGTCAATCAGTAGTATCAACCTATTACCCTGGCCAAACATCAATTAGCGCCTTTCTAAATAGAGAGAGGTTAACACGTGACTATTTTTGCTAGGCCAAGACCGATTGAAGGACCCTGGTTCGAAGGAAGACCCCTGGTTCGCAGCGTGTTATGCGTGTTAATGTAAGAGGTCATGACCCCCGTCCCTCGCCAGTTTCTACGCCGACGCCTGTAGCGATATGTCAGTGATTGCGAAGAGACGGAAGAGACAAGACAAGAGACGGTCCCACCGACCATCCGATCGGTATCGGGTCAAATCTGTAGTTCCCGCTGCGCTGCACTGAACGTAAAATGGTTGGATGGAACCTCAAATTGAAAATTATCTAAGCGCCAGCAACGTTGATTGATGACTAGAGTCTAATCAACGATGATTATAGAATCTGAGTAGCGAATTGATTGAAAATGGGCTCAAAAATAAATTTGAAAGGGGGAAATTCCCCCTTCCCTCCCTAGCCGTTCACGCACAATTTGAAAGGGGAGCGGAATTTTCGAAGGGGGGAAATTCCGCTTTCCCCCCTTTAAAAGTTACCCGGGGTCAAGGGTGCTAGATTCCTTCCGTCCTCGCTATCCTCAGGAAAAACCAATCCGCATCGCCCCTAGTCTTCATGCTTCCCTCTCTGGACTGGAGGTCACCCCACCAGCCAACCTGTAGTTGATGTCGGTTCCATTCCAGGACACATAATCCTCTTCGGGTGACCGTTGGGGAGACGGCTGGACCGCCCCGACAGGGCAATCGTCCCACGGGAACAGTCACGCTTCCGCAGATCACTGTCGCTGGCTCGCACAACCAAATTACTACACCAGAGCATAGTTATGTCATAGAGCTCTGCAAGGGCCTTCTCAGACCAAAAAAGATGGCTCCCAAGTCCCAACAAAACAAACAATTTTAGCATTCAGTTTTGCATCTCATCAGGCACCACATGTTTTCAGAGTGTTTATTATGCGTTCCGTCCAAAAAAGCGCAGTTCAACTTTCTCCCATTGACTTCAGCGATCTCAAAATTGACCCGACCTTTCTGTCAGCAATGTCAAACTTGCAAAAAAAAAAAAACGTTTCAAATACATATACTGTTGCCCATTGAAATCGCTGAAGGTTCTAAAGCGATCGGTTAGTCGATGTATTTAGATATGATGAGCACAAGAACTTTCCTTGAGGTAAGGTCACTTAACGTGACCTGGTGCTATGACCTTGAATGACTTGACTTAGGCGAAAAAAATGGGTCATTTGAAATCTTAAAATGTTAAATTTTAACAATAATTGCAAGCACTATCCCGGCCAAATAGTGAGTGAGAAGGGAGCGATTCCCCAACCCCATGTTTAGCTCCTATAATTGAGCTAACTGCTAGAGCCTCGCGGAAAAAACGAGCGCTTGCGTCGTTACGTGACGCAGCGACTGTTACCCCATTTTAAAGGGACCCTCCCACCTTAACATTAGTTTTGAGTTGAGATAGCCAAGTTTGCGGCCAGGCTCAGAAACCACCATTTATCCTAGTCGCAACCCCCGCAGCTTTATGGTGTTCAAGAAATTTCTTCCCTTTACTTGCAGGGTGGGACCAGCGTGGTCCCTATCTCTTAACCATTACGGGAATCTGATGACGTCATCAGGCTTTCGAAAGTCCGTTAAATGTTTGACTAAAACGTTTTGTAGCACGCGGTGGTATATGCTGCTTTGCGCGCAACAAATGCCGCACTTTCAAATAAAGTCGCTAGGAACAGCGGAGATCCCAAAAAGTAAACAAAAGTAAAAGTATAATATCTTGAAAACCGGTGAATACTTTTCGATGAAATTTGGTAGATATTCGTTTTTGCTCTTTCTGAACCGAGCGACATCACTTTCATGCCAATTCATTAACTTTTTTGAAGGTGGGAGGGTCCCTTTAAAATAGCAGTGACCTCTTAGGGCAGGTCAAGGGCCCCAAGGCATTGGATCGGTTTTTGGTGAATAACTTCGCCAAAAAATGGTCGTATTATCGTCATTTCGATACAATCGTGTTTTCTGTTCTCAGACGCGTCGATTTATATGCTTTTTTGCTTAGGTGAAGCAATTTAGGATGCTTAGGTCAATGTCATGTTAGGGCAACACAGGTCACGAAGCTGTTGAAAGGAGGACATGTTGCATAACATTTGATTCGGCAAGTCTTGCAGAGTCCATTGATGGCTGTCCCGACTGGCTAGCTCATTTTGATCGGGAGTTATTGACGAAGCACTCCTATTGACGAGCACTCCGTCACGCAAGGTGAACAATGCAAAAGTGAAGCATTAAACCTTGCCAAGAATGTATGAAGTCACGATTTCTTGTGCTTGAGGTATAGTTTTTAGGTCATTTCCGACGCCAAATTAACAGTTTCCATATTTTCCCATTATGCTTATATGACACTAAGTGCGTTACGGATTTGCATCATTTTATAACCGACAACCGTGCAGTCTGCAGAGGTTTACTTAAGACGTCATAGTTAAGTGACCTGACATGGAAACGTGGTTGATTTCAAATGATCCGGCTTGAATCAAATATAAGGCATATGAAATGTCAGCCTTCTATCATCAGTGTGCTTTGAGCTACCGCAAAAAATACATGGTGGCGGCATCCATCCCCTCTTCTCGGCCGGCGAGGGTTAAACCTCGCTTCGAATTATTGCAGATAATGATGCGACCGAAAACAAAGCATTTATCTGTGTCTAGAACGGCCGCTGACTTGTTGGACAAGATCCCCAATCTTAATTTGCTAGATGGGAATAAAATACTCGGCATATGATACATATTACATATATAGGGTAACTGTGGGGAAAACGCACCCCCGGGTTAAACGCCTCCCCTAAAAAAATCGTAGATCTTATCGGCGGATAGGTGTTTTATCCTGTCTTTCAGAACAGTCAGTTGCTTGTTTACGTAGTTCTCTATTTCCGGTTCTGCGTCTTGAGGAGCAGCGTGGGTAGGTGCTGATGTTGGTTTTGGGTGTTGTTTTTGTTGTTTTTACAGAAGATTCCTAAGCTTTTGATGCCCTCTTTATATCACAAAACTTGCTATTGTGCACATCACTCAAAACTGCGTTTTATTGTCATTCTGTTGAATTTATTATGCTGCGGCGTTAGTGGCGCGTTTTTTGTCAATATTTTGTTGACCGGAAATGGAGTGGATGGGGAAAGACGCCTACTCGATGCATGGGGCAAGACGCCCCCAGTTTTCTGAAAGGGGGGCGTTTTGCACGGTGGTGAGAGTGCAGGGTAGCGCCCTGTAGGTCGGGGCCGAAAAGGCCTCTCCCTGTCCTTTTTTGCTGATATATCCTAAACGACTGCAGATATCGTTACCAAACTTTCAGGACTCCTCCGGGCATCCATTTTACACATTGCAACAACATTTTATTCCAAAGGCTATGATATGTTGACCACAAATGACGTCATAATGTCGTCAAGTTCTGCCATGTTCATCATTTTCTGTTGATGGATGGGGTGGGGGCGCTTTGCACATGGGTGTGGGCGTATTACCCAGGGTGTGGGGCAAAACGCCCTTTTGTAAGGGTATGCGGAAACCTTTTTGGGGGGTTAAATACCACACGCAAGTGTCTTTTCTTGGTCTCAAAGCGTAGTAAAAAGAATGAGCTACATGATGGTGCCCAAAGGTTTGAGTAATCTGGGTTGGGTTGAGTGTCCGAAGGTTTCGCGCTTAATGGGGGCGTTTTTGACCTATTCACCCTACCCCACGATTTGCCCTCGCGCTAAGTCAATTCTAATCATCACTGTCGCTTTTTTATCCAAGATGATGTCGCCGCTAAACGGGTTGTTTTGTTTGCTTGCTTGCGTTGAATGGTCATTACGGATTATTGAAGTATTATGATATAATAGGAATGGGGCAAGGGAGGATTTGCACTGCAGTGCAGGTGTTTAATTTAGATCACAAAGGCATCATTTCCGGCATCGTGCAGAGTCATTATCTTCCCCTCCTCTGCACTGCGGCATCTCTGCGCCCCACACACGGCGTCCTCACTCCACGGCCGGCCGCCGCCAACTGACCCACTCGCCGGGCGCCGCGACCTGACCCGTGTCACTGCCGCGGCCTGCGCAATAGAGTCGGGGCTGGAATCCGGGGGTTCGGCCGGCCGGCCGCCTCTGGAGCGGGGGACTTTTTTAGTAGACCTACTGTACACGCCGCACATAACCGCCAATGCCGCAACGCAGCTTAGATTTCGAAGTAAGCATTTAGTCTCACCCCGCTTTCAAAGCAAGCAGTTGATTGGTGAGTGGTTGATGTCATTGATTCAAATTAAGTATAATTTTTCATTGAGATTTTATCCTTTATTTTTATTGAATGAATACAAAAGTGGCGCGTTCGATATTTTCGTAATGCTGAGCTGAATGACTGAATTTTACAGCGTTTACGATTTGCTTCTTTGAGAAAATTTGTTATATATCGATATTCAAGGCCCTAAATGCACTTTTATTTATGCTTACTTATTAAGTGCGGAGCCAGAATTTTGAAAGGCTTTGAAAGGCTTTTTGAAACTGGACTCAGGAACTCAAGGAAGTATCAGGATCAGGGCCCTGAGAAGTGAGAGTTGAGAGGATTCCAAAGCAATTTCAATTCAGAAATGTTAAAGTTGTGTACTCGTTCCAATTAATTCATGGATCTTGATAATCGCTTGAAAAATCATTCAGCCTCAATTTATTTTCCTGTACCATTCGTTCCGGAATTTAAAGTGGGTTCAGGAATCTGAATTGGTACCTTATTCCTATGTCATGATCCGATTCCAGCCCAAGCTGAAGACATCTACTTGTAGCTGCCCTTGCTCCCCTCAGTCATAACCTGAGAAAAACTAGGGAAACAAGTGGGTCACATTTCTCGTCTGTCCCAGTTCAGATATTAGTTAATTCATATGATATAGGCATCATTCTCATTCTACAGAGAAACTTGTGCTAATGAGTGCCTTTAACCCGCGCCGGTGCTCTGAGATTCCGCGCCGGGCCGTGTGTGTGTGTGTGTGTGTGTCTGAACACCCCCCTTCTAACTCGGCTCCTGGGCCGCGTAGCGACACGCAGTAAGTGGCAATCGAAAGAACGTCCAAAATAAGGACGAAAACACTTAGGTCATTTTTTGGGTCAGGTCAAAGGTCAGGTCACCAGAGGTCACCAAAGGTAAAATGTTGACTATTTCAATATTTTGGAAACTGCCAACGGCTGTCTCGGGAACTGATAGAGCTACAGCGCCGCGGAAAAGCGCATTCGATAGCCCTTTTACAGACCTTTCTGAATAATGTTTTCAGATTTGACCTCAGGTCAACGGTTTAGCCTCCAGAGGGCAAAAAGTCACAAAATAGCCGTTTTTACGAAAAGCGGTTTTTCGGCAATAACTTTTGACTCATAAGAGCCATGCCATTACTTTTGCCAGCATCGTGTTCCTCTCGTCGAGACGCGTCGAATGAACTATAAGTTGACCTTGAAAGGTCAATTTGAAAATTTGACCTCAGGTCAAGGTCATGACCTGACCGGAAAAGGTCATGTTGCATATCAGTCGATACGCAACGTCGAGCCGAACACATCTAAGGCGTTTTCAGCGCTCTAGCACCTCTCTATCAGAAGTTATTAGCGAAAAACTGTTAGATTCTGTTCGTGACCTGAGATGACCTCTGGGAGATATCGAGGGGTCACAGTTGCCATTTTCCGGTTCAGTGTGTCAATCTTACCTATATCTCAATGTTTGAGAGTGTCTAGAATAGCGTTCGTGCAAAACAGACGCTTTTTAATTATCTCCCATTGACTTATGATGGAGAGGCCGCAAAATTGACCTGACCTTAGGTCACCGATATCAAAATTCCGAGATATACATTTTATAAATATTGTTGCTCTAATCAATTGCTGAAAGTTTCAAGGCAGTCGATCAATTGGTGTAGCTATGACGAGCATTCTTATTTTTTTCTGAGGTGAGGTCACTTGGCGTGACCTGGTGACCTGACCTAAGGCGACCTGGTTCTGAAATTTTCACAACATGTGCGGAAAAGATGCACGAACAGGTGTGCCAAAAACGGCGCCAACCCCAGATTGAAGTTAGGTGTCGTTACCGTACCTACTTCTTCAGGCTGATGCATTATCCGTTCAATGATAATGGGCCGAATTCCTACACGGTACACGTTTGAAATCAGATTAATTTTGATACAGTTAACCAGAGCCTCTGGCTGGTCTTCTATTCTATCAGGGTATAATTGTTGATGTATGCCGTCAATATGATAGTCAATGCATACATACATGCATGGGAGTTGCTTTATTTGTCACAACTCACAATCTCTTTTTGTCTCTGACTCTCTAGTATGAATTGGCAGTGAGCCACCGCAAAATTTTTCAAAATCACTTGGCAAAACAGCTCCAAAACACATAAATGCTGCAGCTGGTGTAACAAGTTTGATACCAGAACACCAAAGGACTGGTCACCAAGTCAAGAAGCCCTGCTCTTAAAACAAAAAACTTCTGGTATTTTTAACCATAGGTGTACCTATGCTGCCGATTTCCTACAAGTTGGACTATTCGTGTAGTGTAACTGAACGACTGCAGGGTCAGAGCTGCAGTCGGTTGGTGTTGACAGTTCTGGCCAGAGTTGGAGCTGGAGTCACCGAAATCGTTCAGACTTCGACTCCGAAGTCGGAGTCAACATTTTCTGGATTGGGGTCATGCTTTTAACTGGTTAGTCAAAATATATGAAGCCAGTTTGTAGCCAGTCATATTCCCAGTTTCCCGAGAATGGGTGGAAAAAAACCTGGAGGTTCTGTTGGCCGTGGTGACTGGTGGACGGTGGTTATGTAGGGGTCAGACCAATATAGGCCCACACCGAGTATCAAAACCTCCTGGACCCTCTCAGACCGTGACGAGATCCTCTCGCACCAGCATCAGACCCTCAAAGGCCATGGTGAGCCCCTTCGACTGTCGGTTTGCCTAGCACGGGAGGAGAAGCGTTTGAAAGTGGGGGACAGTCTTGAGTAATGTGAATACTCTGAAATGTGTGGCTTCTGCAGCTGTCCCCGAGACTTTGGGACCGAACTTCGCCCTTGGTGGATGCAGTTGCTCTTATTGAATCGATCATCATATTGACATTAAACGGAGTTGATCAATCGACTCCGCAGTCTAAATAATGTTACCGTAACGCCGAAGCAATTGGTGCTTCGGATATTTATTCGGATATGATTCGGATATTTATACCTGTGATGTTATGTCAAATGGACAATGGAGCACTAGGTAGGCAATCCAAAAATTGGTCCAGGCATTGTTTGGAAGGATCTAACCGAAGGAAGGGAGCCTAGCCCTAAAAAAGGCTTACGCGATTAAGGTCTATGCCACAAATTGTCTAATGCACTGGTGCCGCTCATCATATCAGTCATATCCGGGTGAAGTTGTTTGTCAGTGTGGGTATAGAAATTTTGGCTTCACCGAGTTTCCTGGTATGTGTTCGAATAAAAAGGGCATTTAGAAGCATTATACCGAAAGCAATAAACAAAACAGGAGGGGATAACCTTGGGGATAACCCTCCACCCCGTTGACTGGGAGAGGAAGTCCCTCCGTCCCCTCCTCTATGGCGCCACCCTTGCCTACCGGTCTATGACCTGTCCGAATTTAACAAGCTGATGAAGTACCTGAGGTCTTATATGTGTACGGTCGAATTGACCAGCATCAGCATTCTTTTAAAGAAGCTTTGTTTCTGTTTACCTAGCTCCATTGTGAATAATCGTTGCAAATAGCAACTTTTTACAACATTCATGAGTGATTTTATTGGAGGGGACGTCCCCCCAGATCCCTCGACTGGGGGGACCCGTCCCCCCTCCCCGCATTCGACGCCCATGTTGTGAGTTGAGGTTATCAATAGTGGAAGCTTGATCTGGTAGATGGCATAAAGGAACAAATTTGTCAGGGTCGTTTCTCTGCATGGCGTTGCAGTGCGCTACACGTATCAGTGTAAAGGGTTTTCATGGAAACATAAATGCCTGTAGGTAACGCTGGAATGCCTGTAATGCTGGAGCGTTCAGGCAATTTTGTTTTAAATGCCGTGCCAATGCACTATGCAGTAATGCGCTGAAGCATTGTGCTGTGAAGTAGGGCCCTACACAAACCCTCAACCAATAGGTATACATACTTTTTCAACTTCCTCATAAGGTCAAACTAAGATTTCGACACAGTACTCAATTTCATGACATTTTATTTAATTGCAATTTTGACATTTTTAGAAGGCTGTCATGTACCTATGGCAGCCTTCTTCAAATGTCATCAAATTACTCAAACAGTTGCTATGGTTGTTGTTGTTAAATTTTTATGAAAGCATCTGACTTCTTTATTTGTTGCAGGTGTTTTCAAGGGCCTCCCAGCTTGATACTTAACTTTGATTTGCTGCATTGTAGCTTTAAATGATTGCTCCTACTCATGAATGAGAGAGAAGTAAGCAAAGTGGCCTTTTGCTCAGCAGTCTTTGCAGGGTTTGCCTATGTTGGATACACATTCTTTAGGAATCAAATTGGTAAAAGGAAGCACAAGAAAAGTAAGTCATACATGACATTTTCGTTTATAGGTACTACAGCATGCATGGTCTGCATTTTGTCCCTACTGGCAGTTGATGTGATGTTGACTGTCTATTGAATGATATATCAGATTTCCAGATAATTGATATCTTTAACCAGAGATGCATGAACATGTGATAAACATTTTTGTATCCTTTCGTACACATTTAAATTTGTTTGTATTGCATAGTTCTTCTTTATGGATATCCAGTGAATCCCATTCATCATTACTTTAAATGCATGATTTATTTATTGGTAAATACTCAGCAGGAGCTAAATCAGGTAGCTGGTTTGCCTACCTACCACAGAACTTCAGCTGTCGATCCGGCTTTCCACCAGCCTGCCATTCCCCGTTGGCTGTCGGCCCGGTCTGACGCGGGCGGGGCCGTTGCAGATGAACGGAAGGGCGTGTACCTGCGCCGACTGTCGCAGACCACGCAGACGGACGAGATGATGCGCGCCGAGCTGGACGGAGCCGCCGGCACGCTCACCGTCAAGCCGCGCTCCGTCCAGGAGAGGATCCGCGAGCTGAACCTGCAGGCGCGCCTGTTCGCTGACACCATGCTGGCCATCCAGACACAGGACACGGGTGCCCGCCGGCCGCACTACCGCAGCTCGCAGGTCAGTTCCCTTTCTCAGCCCGCCGGCCGCACTACCGCAGCTCGCAGGTCAGTTCCCTTTCTCAGCCCGACGGCCGCACTACCGCAGCTCGCAGGTCAGTGCACTGCCGCAGCTAGCAGATCAGTGTCGCAGCTCGCAGGGTAGCAATACCGTACCTGGCAGGTCAGTGCACTACCGCGGCTCGCCTGCCGCACTACCGCAGCTCGCAAGTCAGTGCACTTTATTCGCAGGTCAGTGCACTAATGCACCCTGCTGTCGCACTACCGCAGCTCACATGTCAGTGCTTTATCGCAGTCCGCTAGTCAGTGATTGAGTGCATTGCCGCAGCTCTCAGTTCAGTGCACTATCGCAGGTCGGGGTATCATCGCAGCCCTCGGTCGCACAATCACAGTCCTCCGGTCGCACTTTGGCAGCTCGCAGGCTGGTGCACTATCGCAGATCGCAAATCAGACTGTGCACCGGGTGCTCATTCAGAAAAGGTGGATGGTAGCATGAGTGCTACTTGCTAAGCAATCGCAGCTGATTGGCAATGGACGTGGAAGTGTGGTTCTGGAGACTGCAGACGTATGTCTCACATGAATGTCGCCGCTGTCTTGGTTTGATACTGAACGGAGTGACTTTTTCATCGTTGTGTTTAGCAGCTATATAGTTTGGAATATTGTGTGCCAATTGTACTGCAAACATTCACGCGGTCGTGCTCCTGATATGTAATTTAACGTTAATTCGTTTGGCATCGCTGGTGCATCAGCTTATTGATGCTCACATATTCAACAAACTTGTGTTTGATGTAATAATATTTCATCCACCCCCTCACCCGACTCTGGCAACACTGTAAAGTGTCTGAACTGTGGTGTTTATTCCCAATCGCCTGAGAGCGACCTCTTCCCCCGTTCAGTGCACGCCCTGGAGCTCGCCGCGCATTCTCTCGCCGGTGGACGTGCGTCTGATGACGTCATCGCGCTCGCACGAGCAGCTGGCGTCGCCGCGCGGCCGGGCGCTGCTGAGCACGCGCCGTCGGCGGCTGACGGGGCCCAGCGAGGTGCCGGCGACGACGGCCACCGCCGACGACCTGCGGCGACTGGAGGACATCGTCAAACAAACCAGGTGCGGCCGAGGCAAACAAACCAGGTGTGATGGCGGGAAAGTGGGTGACGAGTGAGGAATGAAGAATCGGTACGGGGTGTAACACCGGATCAAATAAATCGGCTGAAGTGTTTTCGGTGGCGATTTGGTTTGGTATTTCGTTGTTGTGCGTCGTCAAATCCATCCGAGAATATATTTCCCCCTAGAATGCGATCTTCTTATACTGTCTTCTTTGTACCCGTAGAGAGTTGGACAGGGAGGAGGCGAGCCTGCTAATCAAGCTGGCACGATATTCTGATGCTGATGTCACAAAGAAGACCCTGGTGACCATCGGCAACTGCTGCGCCTTCACCGCCAACCAGGTAACTACCAATGAGAATGCCGTTTTCCAGTGTGTGGGACGTGGGTACATACTACATAGCCATTGGTCCCGCGATCTTGGTCAGTGTAGGTGTGCCTATGGTCTCCTGTGCTTAGTGAGGAGGGCGGTTGACCAGCCCCCACCCAGCTGTGTTCGCTGACGCGCCGTGTGTCCGCCGCGCAGGCTCTGTTCCGGCACGAGGGTCTGCTGCCGGTGCTGTCCGCACACCTGCTCCACCCGTGTCCCGAGGTGCAGATCGCTGCCGCCCAGACCGCCTCCAACATGGCGCTCAACCACGACAACCAGGAGCACATGCAGGTGAATGGTGGGGGGGGGGGGGGGGCAGCTGAGAGCGCCGCCGAATATGTGGATACTGGGGCAACCAGGAGCACATGCAGGTGAATGGTGGGGGCAGCTGAGAGCGCGAGTATCGGTATATGTGGACACTGGGGACAGCCAGTCCAGGAGCACGTCTTGCAGGTGGACATGATTGGGGGCAACTGAGAGCGCGAGTATCGGTATATGTGGACGCTGGGGCAACCAGGAGCACATGCAGGACGCAGGTTAATTGTACTTCAGGATGGCCAGCTGCATACGCAGGACGAGTAGATACACGTCAGAACTCATAAGGAAGGGCTATGATGGGATAGGGATACCATAATAGGGGGATTGGATATGGAGGAGGAAGAGTAGGACCCCTCCTGTATTTGGGCACAAAAGCCCGTTGGAGGGAGGACTGAGAAAAATGACGTGACTGCAGCTGTATCGAGCAAAGTACAGTCCACAGCAGAAGTAATGTGGGGTTTCAGTCATGGGTATGTTCTGCTTCTGAAGCTTAGGAACGATTAGCCAGACTACAATGAAAATTTGAATGTAGCTTATATGTATCGTCTGCACCCTTGCAGCTGCAATTTTAGCTATTGACATCTTCTTTTCGATCACTCCGCATTAAACAATCGCCAGTCAAAGCCAATCGTTGAGATTGGTAAAACCCTACATTACTTTAGCGGTGGGCTGTACGTAGGCACCGTATTATGTGTGGAGATATGGGTATGACTATGAACTATGAATGATGCCTTTTGATATCGATAGCCGCCATATGACTCACCACCCTGATTGTGTCCGCTCCGGCGGCAGGACTGCACGGAGGTGCTGCTGGCCATGCTGGAGACGGAGGACGATGACGTGCTGGAGGCGGTGCTGTCCTGTCTGGTGAACGTGGCCGTCCTCGACCGCTGGCACGAGCTCTTCACGCCCCACCTGTCCATGTAAGGCTGCTAGGCGGCTGGCTCTTAACATTAGTAGCTCACAGATGCTGTTTACGCTCGAGGAGGAAGTTTTCTCATAGCTTAGCCTGTAATTAATGCTGCGCACATGGCTTCTCAGGTTTGATGTCCTTTTTTATATGTTAGGTCGATTTGAAACCTGTACGCAGAACAGAGCTTGTTCTGTGACTAATTTTTGTATGGTATTTTGTTTCAGATTGTACAGTTTCGTAGACGAGGCGCCGCCGAGACTGCAGATGCACGCCCTCCGCCTCCTGGTGAACCTCGCCTGTAATGACGTCACCATTCCGGCCTTATTGGCTGCTCAGGTCAGTTAGCACTCACTTCCAAGACTGTAGTGCTCTGCTGTAATTAAGAATACACCATCCTCTTCCTAATTTGTCCATCTGGGACTCTACGCGTCTGACTGACTTATTTGATCTCAAATTGCCAACGTACGTCATACTGTTCCCTTGGCATAATGTCCATGTTGTTACGCCGCAATAATTCGTCATCGCTTATGTAGTTCTAGGGCAGAACTATTTTGTCTCTCAGTTCCCAACTACTGCCGGTTACCCACAGGGTCCGCGGAAGCTGCTGTACTACCTGGAGCCGAGCACCGAGGAGACGGTGCTGCTCCGTCTGGTGACGCTGCTAGCCTCGCTGACCTCTGCCGCCGCCCGGCTAAAGATCAACCCGGCCCTGGACCTGCCACCGGCGCAGAAAGTAGCCGCACCGGACACCATGTGAGGGCCGGCGATGGGAGACTTTACTCAAACTATCGTGTTCATTTCTTTGGAGTGCTGTATTTTCCATGCATTTGATAGGCAATCATCATTCAGCTGATTTAGCTATATTATATTTTCGTCTTCCTTTTTATATCTCAGGTTCTTTTAAGGCTGATTATTTTGACGTCACTTAGAACATGAGTGATCTGTTGCACTGTCCTGTTCAGCCGTGACGTACCCTCCAGAGCTGCCCATGTATTGCTGCTGTTTCCACACGATGTCTGACCGACCGTCTCCGTCTGTCAGGTACGCCCAGCTGTTTGGCGTCGGTGTCCGCCAGCGGTTGTCGCACAAAGCGGCCGCGCTGGCCACCCACCACGCCTCCGAGGACATCCGCCTGCAGGCTGACCGGCTGCGGCAGGCGCTGGACGGCTAGCGCGGCGCCCGTAGGCGTCTAGTCAGCCGGGCTGTAGTCTGATTGACTGATCTCTGGAGAGTGTGTGGGGCGTGAGTGGCTGCGGTGGTGAGAGTTCGAGTGGTGAGAGATAAGTCGTGGAGCGGAGTTTATGATGAGTGTTGGTGGTTCTTTATGCTGATGGAGTTTTCATGGATATTTTTATTTCGGCGTGATTAATTGCTTTCGCCAATGTTTCCCCAATAACTGACGACAATTCTAAACTAAACCTCTAAACTGACGAATAACGGCATGCCGCAGAAGCCTCGGGATAAATCGTTTTTAGCTCCGTCGCTGCATGATTCACATCCTTATTGCTTGTCTAATTGCACTTCAGGGCTGGCTCTTCCACTGAAGTTTCGTTGCAACCTCTTGACCCTCGTAAAATTTGACAGCTTATCTGAGTGCATGTTGTGTTATTGAAATTTGGAAAACAGCGGGACTCCTCTCCCACTGTGATATTTCGTAGGTCAATGATTGTTGGCACCGTTCCGTGCTTCTATCCTCAGGATACAGAAATCCTTCTCCACGCTGCAACCCCCACTCCGGGCTGGACAGGCAACTTTATCTCATGCGGGCTGCTCCCTTGGAGCGGCACCGCTGCTCCCGAGGGAGCGCATCCGTAGCCGGGTGCAGAGAGTGCTTGGGGGCTGGTCGACCTATCCATTCGGACGGGCTCAGCCCCGGCGACTCTCTAGGGTGTCTGCCCAGACCAATGTCTCCCCCTAATTCCTATCATCCTTCTGGCTCTACAGTGGTCTTGTCAGACCGAAAGGGCTTAACCCAACAAAACAAACAAACAAACAAACGATTGTTGGCGGCGTTTCGAACGAACGCCTGACTTTCGCTTGGACTCCGTCCTTTGGATCATTGCCAGCAGACTGGACGTAATTGATATGTTCTCGCGATGCCAACCACGTGAGCTACTGCCACGCCGATATCGCTGATTCATCGGCATTTATGGTGTAGCAATGAACGAGAGAATAATGCCAGCCTTCAATTCGAGCTGCCCTGCGTTTGTCATACAGGTAGACACCGGCCGTCGATCGGTTCTGCTATTGTTGCATTTGTATGAGTTTTGGCGTACTTTTTCGGTTCTGCCGTGTTTACGAACGCACTCTGTCGAACAGTCTAGCTAGACCGATGACTCTCAGATCTTCTGGTAGGTACTACGCGTCTACCGCCATTCACTCCTGTGTTGAGGATCACATGCCTGTCTAACTGGGACTAGCCGTGAGTCCCTCTCTCGTCACTAGTTCTGCTGTGTTTGGGAGCGGAGGCCGAAGTGTCTAGTCGGGGCGCACCGTATGCCCATCGCTCGTCACTAATTCTGCCGTGTTCCGTAGCGCACACCTGTCTAGTCGGGGACGGTCTAGGCCTGCCTGTGACGTCTGTGAGTCCAGTGTGAGAGGCTCCCGTCCTGATCAGAACTGGTGTGAGAGGGTGAGACGAGATAGCTAGTCGATGTCGTATTGTCTCGGCCGGCCGGCCACCCTAGTATCTCAGGCGAGAGGCGTCCAAGTGCGCTGTTTGTCCGGTGTTCTGCTGTTGTTTTACTCATGTGCTGGTGAACACTATGTCGATATAAAGTTGTTTGACTTATTTATTTATATGTAATTTTGTGTTGCTCGAGTTTTGCTGGCATAAGGTATTATGTGATGTGATTGTTTTGGCTGTTGACTACTTATGCTTGTTGCCACTGAAGAAATGTCCTCAGATACAAACGGGCGTTTATCTGTTGATTCGGGATATGGCAGTAAACACACTAGGTTGAGTCGGTTTGGTGAGGTCATCGAAATGATCGCTCACCACGTCCGTTGATGGCTGTTATGCCCAGTTATATCAGTTAGTGTTAATGGGCATAGTGGTTATGCCCTTAGAGATTCTACTATATATTAGATTTCTAGTTATACGACCAATCCACGTGCCGATCATCCGTAACCGGTCTACCCAAGATTACCAAGGCTACTTTACCACTGTCTACCTGCATACAAGGTGCCTACATGCACTATAGCACTCTAACGCTGCAGGGCAGGGTAAGAGTGCTGCCGTGCTGCGGTATATGGCTTTAGTTGCTGTAATTGCTCATCTAATGGCTGCTAAGCTAACGCACTAAACTGGTGTCTTTTAAAATTTGTGTCTGACGAAATCGGGTGAGGGGACGAGAGCAGGTGGATATAGAGATAAATGCAACCTCTCCTAGCTTATTGTGTTTAATGAATGTTACGTCCTCCTGCCTATGATACGTAGAACCAACGTAGAACTAAAATGCTCCATAGTTTGGAGCTTTGTGGTCTTTCCTGCGGTTGGATGTCTCGTAAAAAGCAGTAGAATAAGTTAATTTTCTTCTGAAGAAGCGGATTAAGGAAATTTTTAAAACATGGTTAATATTCCTGAATAAATACCTAATTACGGTTGCATAGTAGTCTATGGCGCCTGGCGGCTACTCTACCTAACGCAAATAATCGTTTGAATCTCGCAGCGTATTTATGTGGCAGCAGTTTAGATGTCTGCCATCTGTCTTCTGCATAAGTCTGTTCAAAGGCAGCACTGCTTGTCAGCGGTCTTTGAACTAAACTTTGATTGGTGAATTTCTGCGTGCTGTCAGACGTCTCCCGGCTCCTCGGGCTGTGATTGGCCTTGAGTTTGACCTTGAAGGCGGTGGTCTGCTGCTGCTGCCTGCTATGTTGTGATTTGTGCCAAGGTGCCATTCGAACGCGCGAGAGGAAGGCGAGGGGAAGCGAAGTCGGGCGCTTAGTTTTTATTTTACTTGTTTTCCATATCATACAACCTGAAGAAATAGCTCGTCATCTGGTAAGTTAGAAACGCCTCTTTCGCCAATACCCCAAGATTTGCTATTTTTAAGAACCTTTTCGCACGCCAGGGTTAGCACCTCATAAAAATCAAAGAAATGAAGCTGAAATACATCTCACTTAGTGAGATGTATGACTCACTATCCACTCACATCCAAGGTCTCACATCCATCTGATCTCTTCTATGATATCCACTTATCAGGGATGTTATTGTTGCCACTGGTCATTATTTGTGCTTTGAATTTTGACCATAATGTTGATGTTTTGTTTTCTGAACATGAATATCACCATATACCTAGGTACTTTGTCAGTGTTTTAGAGTGGAGCGTAGATACTCATCTGCCTATATCTGACATACCTGTAAAAAATATTTTACTGATTGATTAGGGCTCAGATCCTTATGTGTTGAGGTGTGAGAAAGTAAATGTAAGACTGTTTCTTATGCTCTTATGTGTCAAGGTGTGAGAAAGTAAATGTAAGACTGTTTCTTATGCTCATCCAATAATAAATACCTAGTCAATATTAAGATTATTTAAGTGACTAAAATGCTTATTCCAGCATACGAGTATAGTGTTAACTAGGTGTACAGCTCAAAATATTGGCATTGAAGACTAAAAGTGTATGCTAAATTTGCATGTCTTGCCTTTAATGTTCTCAGTAACAATAGGATGAGAGCACCACATTCATCATAATTATGCCACATTGCAGGCATTATGATGAAATTTCCTCTCAGCTGTATGCAGTGCTTTAGATCTACTGTTTTTAGCAGTGTGTAGTTGTACTGTGTGGACAATATACGTCCTTCCATGGCAGTCATCTGTAAAGATTTGTAATTTTAACCTTAAATATTGCTAGCTATAGTTTTGACCAGGATTTTCACTTTTTTCAGGAATCTGGGATCAGAATGGATTATACCAGGAGAAAGGTAGGTTTAATTAGCACCTAGAAATATGCATGAATACCTGTTGTTAAAAATGTTAACTATTTAGGAGAGATGGTGCATCCCAGGCCCCAGCATCATTTGAATGCTTATCTTTTCCATCATTGGTTATTGGTCAAACACCAATTCTAATTATATTACCTATATGCTTCATCATAGATAGCTGTAAAACTACATTTAGCTATGCCAATCTATTTGCTTATTTTTTTCTGAATTTGTTTTCGGCCTACTGGACGTTTCACGTTTCGTCCGTTATCTCCGCTGGCGTCCGTTGCCCTCTTACATGTGTCAGTCGTCAGTCTTCTACCGTCCATGCTCGTTCCTTTCGTTTACCGGTTCACAGTAGCTTGTCTGTCTGGTCGGGTTTATCAACGGTCAATCTGTTCTCTGTCCGTCTGAATGATTTACGGGATCTCGATAAAGAAAGCTAGCTTCTATCGTCTTTAGGACGATAGACGGCCAATTTATGAGGCCTCCGCCTCAAGTATGTTTGTGATTGAATCAACACCCATCTGCGAGCTTGGGGGCAGATCTCTCTCATTGTTATTGGCGGCCAATAACCCTAGCCGTATACCTTCCGCTGGCGGTGCGCACGTTACACCATTTCCACCCGTTCTCTGTCATGGGCGCTCCCTGCATCTCCGATGTCCCGACAAGTCACCGTCTCCACCCCTTCCCTTCCTTTATCTGAATAGTGTGTCCTTCCCGGGGATCGGGCCGGGATCTGAGTGCGACCTCCCCCGGGGCAGGCCGGCTGTCCCCGGCGCCTCACCGTTGGCCGCAGCGATTTATAGAGTGGTCCGCGGCGTCTGTCCGGTCTCAGGGTCAGCGGCGCGCCGGGCGCAGTGAGGTCCATGTTTGGGGCGCGTGTTTGACAGGGCGCCGTCGTGCTGTCAAACGACGAGACTACCTCACCAGAGACGCGCGGGTCGCTGGTCAGGACCGGCGCTCTTCAAAGCGGGCTCTTAGGTTGACGGCTATACTGCGCCTCCCTCATGTCATTTTAAAAGTTCAAAAAGAAGCGAAAATACCTACTGTTAACGCCAGACCCGTTGAGACCCTAACTTTTCGCGATTATTTTTAAATGCGTGAAATAATTTCAACCATATTTAGGAAATAGCTGTTTCAAGACCTGCCGAAACTTTTTCTTCAAATACGTTTTGTTGTCATTTAAATATTTGTGGCACTTGTCATTGACTCGTAATGTTAACTGTTTTTCCATCCTGGATAGAGGCTTTCATACGTCATATGACATTAGGCTCCGCCCACGACTGCGGCATTGACCCGTGCCCATCAGCGACCTCTGTCTGTACACACGACACCCCTGCCATCTGTAAAGGACTATGAATTTCGCTGACGCTTCACGTGCTATGCATCAATTCAAATTGCAGCAGACGGTCAAGTAAATGTTAAGCTCTTGTTGACTCTCGTATATAGGACCAAGAGAACCATCACTCCTAAACATACTACTCACACATGCTTCGAACAAACGTTAAAGATTCCTAACAAATACGAATTTCGATGTAGGATATAGGTATGTTTGAAATACGAGCGAGCCTTATGGTGTGAAGCGAAGGCAATTGACTAATCATTGCGTTGTTCGATGGTTGCATGCGATGTAACAAATCAGCAACTACTTGATGACATCCGACATCCCATCATCACATTATCTGCAACGCCATAGGCTTTAAATACAGGTGAATATTTCCTAACGTTATGTCAGGTATATGCCATCTGCCCGCCATTTGCAGCTTATGAAAATAAAACAAATATCAACGAACCTATCAGTATTGTACAAACAATGCGCATTGAGCATTTATGGCTCCTCAGTCATCATGTCGCTCTTTGGGCACTGTCAGACAAGACGTTGCGCACAACTCCGCCGGCTTTCGGCACCGCTCGACCGTCCCCGCTCCCCGCCACAGCGCGAGTGACCGCGCGCCGGCCCGAAACCGCCGCAGGCGAAGACCACAGAGGCGGGGCTTAGCTTTGACGTCATAACGTATCACAGACTGACTGGTGATAGCCTCTACACACCGGGTGAAAATCTTGCTCGAAGTTTAACATTACGAGTCAATGAGAAGTGCCTGAAATATTGAAATGGCGACAAAATATCTAAATTGTAAAAGTTTCGGCAGGTCTTGAAACGGCCTTGTCTTGACTGCTTGGTTGAAATTCTTCCACGCATTTAAAAATAATCGCGAAAAATTAGGGTCTCAAGGGGTCTGGCGTTAACAGTAGTGGGACGCTAGGCAAGTAAAACCACATACCTACTATCGGCGCATCGACTGGACAGACGCTGGCAGCTTTCGGCGATGATTGACGGAGTAGCAACTATCAACACCGAATGTTGGGACAGGGAACGTCCGCGCTACGCAGTTCGTAGCTGAGGGTTTCGAATGGCGACCTTTAAAGGCTGCTATCAGCTTTGCATTATGACCCTGTTATCGAATCCTTTGAGCGGGCTGCTTTCCTGCTTGCTCCGTTGTTCAGATAGGACAAGTCCGTCTTTTTACAATCACCGTTTCGGCTGATAAAATCCGGATGCAGCGATTATGAGAAATGGCAGATTGTGCAACTGTGCAACGCAGCATCAGAACGCGATTCTTGTTATTGTCTTGCGTGTTGCGTTCTTGTTCACGAGCTGTTGCGTAAGTCAGCCCGTTGAACTGACGCACCGCACTCCGCAGTGCGTCGTCGATACCGTTTTTCCTTATTCTGCTGGTTCGTGGTGGTATGAACAATGTGATTGTTTCCTCGATTTAAAGGTAGTGTGCCAGCTTTCTTGGACCGTGTGGAGTTAATGGCCCAGATAAGGAGAACCGGATTTTTAGAACTTATCCATACCTTCAAAACTCATGGAAACGTCTTAAATTCTTCAAATTTTGAGTACCCCAGTGCGAAATTCGCACCGACGGGTTGTCGGTCGTACCCCAACCACATTTCACACCACTATGAACAATAAATGCACACACTGAAATCGCTATTACCGATATGCTCATCCAATCAAGTTTCGATAAACCCGTTCATCATCATCTCCTGCGGTTTCGAACACGCCTGTTAGGTGGCTTCTGATGCTCGTCGAGGTCGGAATTTCCAAATACGCGTGGTGCGTCGGGCCGCGCGCTCTGACTTCGGCCAAGAAAAATGCGTCAGCTGATCATTGTCATTTCTGCCACTGGCCCACTTGCGTGTGGTGAAATGGGGTCATAACTTATAAGACGGCTTTTTCATATCAATTATTTTACATAAAATCATATTTCAAACCATAAATAATGTTCGACAGCCAAATAAAAGAAACAATACCAATACGGGCTTACAGTTTAAGGCTCGACATTGTGTTGTCTACGATTAGACAGCTGATAACTCATTCCCGTACGTCGTATGGTCGTAACACTATAATGACCTTTGCTTATTGTCACAAGTGCGCCGCATTCGCGATTGTTGCCCGACGCCTGTTTGCAGGTGAGCCCACTACAGTTGTTATACATATCTAAAAACCGAAAAACTTTTAGGCGAAAAAGGCACTATTCCAGGCCCATTTTTGATTTTTTTGCGATATTAGGTAAAAACAGAAGCTTCTTATCCTAGGAAAAATAAAATGGGAAATCTTTCAAAGGTGGCACACTACCTTTAAGACCTGCTTTCTTATCTCCGCATGTTTATTACTGTAGTGTGTGATAGCCGCTTTAAATTGGTGTATTATGACATATTTCTGTTGCAATGGTTATAACTACCAAACGCTGAGTCGGAACATTACTAACATGTAAAACCTCTCCCTCGCAAGCCCAGTCTTATCCGATGTTTACAGGGGCACCGATTACCTACCGACAACCCTTTGTGACACCCGATAAACTGACCGTCTAAACCACCTGTTCTTCGGCACGAAGATCGTTGCGACGGACAATTTCCGTATTCGGAGCCTATGACCTTGCAGAACGGGACCAGACTATCCAATGACCTTAATTACCTACATGGCGCGGTCCTCAGTCCGATGTGGCGTGTATGATAGTAAGTCGTTTTCTGACGGCATAATTTTACTCAATTACGAATAAGATCAAAAGGTACATGACCGCATTTTATGCAGGCATTTGGTTCCTTCACAATTCACATACTAGATACCAAATGGTGTAAAGCGCAGAAGACATGTTTGCCCTTGTCCATGTAGTTTAGACACGGCCAATCATGATGATCTCATCACCGTGCGTGGGCCGTCAGCCTCAGCCCGCTGTGGTTTCCCTGTCAGCCGAATCAGCACCGAGGCCAGCCCTGCGGCGCTGACGCCGTCTGATGGCGCTCGTTTGTGACCCTCTCTGGCGCTCATCCGTGGTCGCCCTGCTCGCGTACCAACCCCCAGAGATAGTCCCGGTGGGTGGTGGTGAGACTGCGGTTTGACGACTCAAGACTGCCGCTCCGAGTCGGTGCACTCCACTGGCTGGGCCAGGGTCAGCGTGACGCGGTTATTGGAGTGTGCCGTGGAAGTTGTTATCGGAACGAAGAGCATAGCGAGGATTCAACTGACCGTGAATCCCGGCAGTAGTATTTCCTGAGTTCCTGACTGAGGAACGGATGTTTTGGGGTTCCCGTCGGTGATTGATTCCTCAGAGCACCCTCTCTACAACTTCCCTCGGTCGTCGGGTACGTTCCCTGAGCGACTGACTGGCGCCGGAATGTCCAGCGGGGCGGCGGATCGCGGGTTTGTTTACATGGACTCACGTGTTGATGCCACGTGGGGTAGGGTCAGCCGACTGGCGGCAGCGGGGATAGCCCGGTGGCGCGGCACGGGGCCTCGTGACGTGACGCCGATCGGGCGGGGAGGGGCCGGGGGGAGTCCAGGCCCTGTTCCAGTCGGCTGCCAGGGCACCGGAGATCGCCAGCCAGGCCTGACCCGCCCACATATTGGTGCCAAGAACGCTGGAAACTTCATGACGATTCCATTGCTGCTGGGTTTCTTTGGGACTGGACTGTCCCGATGGTGTTTTCCG